CGTGTCGTCGATTAATTAACGGGGGACCCAGAAAACGCGAAGATATATTCGCAGCGATACCCCCGCGGAAGTTGAAACGGCATGACATTGCAAATGGCACTCCGCAGATATACAACATTGACTTTAAATTCTAATTACGATTATATGTAATAAAACTATTTTATAGATTAGGGATATAAGTAACTAAGAAGAAATTACGAGCATAACATATTGGCTCTTCGACCACTTCTCATATTACTATACTTTTATAGAAAGAGGAGTCATAAGCTTATAAATAGATTATTGTTCCCCGTTATATCACGAAGGATAAAAAAGATTCGTTCCCCTTTTTTTCAAACTACCAATGTTTAGCTCGTCTTTGATACCGATACATAACAGACGATGTAAACATCATTCTTCGAATTTTCGTCATTTCATTTGCAAGCATTCTTTACTCGCGAAAATTTGCGATAAAATTAAAAATATATTTTATCTTTTTATATGCACATACCTGCATAGTTTGCATTTTTTTCAATTGTAACAGCGATATAAAATTTTAATCTCATACTTTTATTCAACATAATCATCAACTATACACACAAAGAAAATGGTATAGAATTGCTCGTTTCGCAACTGGCGAAATATTGAAAAAAAAGTTGAAGAATGTGAGTTTTGCTTCCATAGCCATCATTTCCTCGTGCAAGTAAGCACTTATGAACGCGCGTACGGGAATCTAAACTTAATAAGCGCTTGTACTCGCGAAACGTACGAAACGAAGCGGACAGGAGGCAGGAGGAAAATCGACTTTCCTCCTCGCGCACGGCGGAGGCACGAGAGGTCAGAAGGTAGCGAAGTACCATCTCGTCGGGTCGGGGCTGGTTTCTCGCTTCGGAAAAAGAAGCGGCGGTGGCGGCGCGGCGGCGCGAGAGGTCCCGGGAGCCGCGACCCCGCAACAGCACGCGCGATTCCCAACGGTCGGAGATCATGCTAATTTATAGAAGTAATTTCGATAACGGCGGGATTAGCGGACGCGCGTACTTCGTTTCGCGGGTAAAAGCCGCGAAATCAATATTCGCGCACAGGAAAAGAAACGGAGAAAGAGACGGCCGAGGAGTCGTGGATATAATAAACCTTGACTAAATCGTGCGCGATTACGATTTTATTGTACGCGGGATTGTAATGTGGATAACTGTAAAAACAGATGAGCCGCGGGATGATATCGAGAGACACGAGGAAGCCGTCAATCCCGACATACATATTATGCACGCGCCGATTGAAATGGACCCAAGACGCTAACTCGTAATGACGCGAGTACCTTATTCTCCGTTATGTGATATATCCGGAGTTCTGTTTGATTGACTTTAAGAGAATGATAAACGTCGCAACGAGAAGTTGCTTGAGAGGAATTTTTCGGAAAGCTTCGTGTGCGATGAATTTCCTTTCTTTTATGAAATAACAGCCCTTTAATTTTGCAGGTGTAGATTTGTTGGTTTTTTCTCAATTAACATCGGCGTTATTCGACGCGACGATTTTCGATCGCGCGTACGGCGCGATCGGCGGGGTTTCGCGAGGCCGAAATACCATTTCCTCGCATCTGGCACCGAGCGGGGTCAAAAGGTAGCGAAGCGCCGGCGGGTCCGGTGCGGGTTCTTAACCGCGGTCGTAAAAAGGCGCGCGGAGGCCTCGAGAACTGGCCTCGCAGTGGTTTCCGACGCGCTAGAGACCCCCTCTTCCTCTTCCTCGCCGTAGAGTACAGCGTGAGTCGTTAATGACTCTGCGCGAATCCCCTCCACATAACGATAATCGATTGCTGCGTTTGTTGTTGACAAGTAAACTATGATTTTCTATAATGACCGTTAAACTAGCAAAGTGTGCTCGGACTACTGTAAACTAGAGTGACTAGAGTGATTAAAACGAGTATTACACGCCCGATCTTGTTTGCAATAATTATTTTAAATGAAGTAGTAAGTTATAAAAAAATATTTCTATCGAAACACGTGATGGTTTTTACATATTGTATTAAATAAAGTACATTGTAGCAATAGATATTCTACATATATTTCCTACATTTACTATATTTATCCAAAATTACTCCAAAGAGGTGGAATATAAATATTTTTCAACTAAAAAAAAGCATATCAGGAGTGTATCATAATTTCAATAAGAGACTCTTTGGTTTCCAATTTTTCAGCTTATTTTCTGTTAATTAAATACGTAATTTATAGTTTTACCTGTAGATATTTGGTTTTATATCTCCGGTTGGTGGTGTAAACTATGTTTTAGATGAGTCCTATTTTATTGCAGATTTACAGAAAGAAGACGTTCTGCTGCACGTTCTGTTGGAGGTATCATTAACGCGTCGCGGCGTACATGCTGCGCTCGTAGAATGTAGGTAAAGCCGGCAGCGACGGTGGTAGACCGTTAAGACTCGATCGTTTAAACATACGACAAGAAAGGGGAATAGAAGGAGGTGGAAGCGGGGGCGGAGGAGACGGCAATGGAGGAGGAGGTCGGAGTCATGCATACTTTGCGTGAAGGTGTGTGGAGTTCCAAATGTCAGCGGAGGATCGCCTCGCAGGAACGGACGTGTGCGAGTGAACGTTACGGCCGCGTTACATTGAGAGAGGTGCCTTCACCCTCTCGGAAAATCCTCTGTCGACCACCTACGCGCGCTGCTCGCCCATAATCATTTTCTAGGAATTACTGTTACGGCGATCTCCCTCTCGCCGTAACGGACGAGATGAGCTGCGAAGGTACGATTAGAACGCGAATGCGAAAGACATCGTAATATCTTCGTTAGATCGCGCAATTTTAATTTGTTAATTCAATGTTATGTCCTCGTTTCATTGCAGCTAACTCAAATTATTTAATACTTAAAAATTGATATGTTAGCAATTGGTTGACTATAGTAACTCTAATCCGGTTTTTAGTACTACGGTTTTATAAATTGTCTCAATTATCAGTGTTGCGGAAACAAGCAAATTAATTAAAAGAACGAACATTTCAATATTGGAGAGATACTTGTGCTGATACGATTCGTCTCTAATTTATGAGAACACGGTCGACGCAACTGCAGTATCGTGGGACAGCGAAGTTGTCGAATGTCGAACGACCGGCGACAGCGCGGATTTCCGTTTGTCGATCAAAATACAACATACGGACAATCAGCGAGCGGGTCCGGCTCGATCGGCCTTAAAAAGGCCCGAGGTACGAGAGGCGATTTGCGCGAACGAGCGAATGAGGGAGCGAGCGAGCGAGTGAGCGACGATAATGGACCGGATCGTCGATTCGTATGTTACATCGTCCGCCACCTGCACACGCAGCGAGAGAAAGAGAGAAGGAGAGAGAGATTGCCGCCCGGTACCATAGTCGAATCGTGGGAATCGTCGGATTACATCCGCCCAATTAATTTTTTCGCCGGTACCGACCCTACGGTTTCGCATGGCGTTCTCGAACCGAGGGAGGAGAGAAGAGGAGGAAAAAGGAGGCTGCTCCCGTTTTGTTTTTTACGCGCGCGCTCGTTTAACTCGATTATACCGCGGGATGCGCCTCGTAACGCGACCTGGGTGCGATGCAGCTCCCTGCGGATCGTGCGTGTTACGTATTATACCGATCCCGCAACGATTAGACGAGGAAATCGCTGTTGCACGGTTAATAAGATTACCCGCGACCGTAGACGCTGATGCCTGCAATACTTTAAAAGCGAAAGTTCGATTAACGGCAGCTGAGTAATTTTCGAATAGCCGCGCTATTACCGAGTCAAGTGTGAAAATTCAATATTTCAACATTTATTTATCACAATTCCGATGCTTTCCAGAGATAAAACAATCTCTTCTCGTATTAACAAAAATTACTGTAAAAATCGCGACTGATAAAATGAATACAAAGGCGCGTCGTGTATTTCGAGTTTACATCATCTCATAGAGGCATGATGTCTCTTCCAATCTAGAAGAGCAACGGGGCGAAAGTGCCGAATTACGGTAGAGAACCGACAGATCTTCATGACACTGAGAAAATCTTGCCATTCTGCTCGCGTTTCCTTTGGAGTATCGTATCGGTACTATAAGTCACCGTTCTCAAGAAATTGCGAAAAAAAGAATAACGAAAACTGAGAGATCACGAAGAAATCATTCGCATTATTTTTTTCTTCGTTACATTCACAGCTTTCCTTTTTAAAATATGTAACTTAATATTTTACTATTATCTACTATCGCTACAAACTGTAACTCGTTGCTGAGATGGAAAAAAAGAGCAGCGGGTCGCGCAAGTTCGAGAGATGCAACGTGTGCCGCACACGCGTGCACGTTACCGCGCGTGATGCACGCGTGAAGTGCGAAAAAGTAAGAGGCCATGCGCTCGCGCACACGCGTATGTAGTGAACTCGTCTCTCTCTCTTTCAATTCTGTATATCTTTCGAAGGACTTTCACTTGCCCTCCGCGTTGGTGCACATCGCCGAGTGCTGAGTTTACGAGCACGTGAGGCGGCACTGAGCATATCCTCCTCTTCTCTCCGCCTTCGACTCTTGCCTCATCTTCACCTAGAACGAATGCATCGATGGAGCAACGGATTTAAACCTGCTACGGGCTTAAGTCACGAAGGAAACACACGACGGAGCCGCTTCCGTCTGAAACAAATAATAATTAATATTAGAAAAATATTTTTTTTTAATACTACAAATCTCTCGCGGCATCGGAATTATGCGAAATCTATTAATTTAATTGATGCATAATGTCCACATACATTTGCGAGAAAATAACGTTTTTGCATTTACATAATTTGATTAATACATTTTCTATTGGTATCTTTCACATTGATCCAATCTCTTCCACTGCAGAATAATATCTATTATATATTGTTTTAGATTACGTTTTCGATATAACCGAAGAAAATAACTATCAAATTCTTAAATAACTATCAAAACTAAATGTCATTTTGTGTCGCTTCGTGCGGAGTGTCTTATAAAAAAAAAAAAGCAAAAGATGCAATTATTTCGAAAACCATAATGTCCGTTGACAGTTACCACCATGTACGACACGAAGTAATTTTTCAGGTCGTTGCTTCCGATCGGCATCCGGCGCGACCGATCGGACGTAGGCGCCGAATTCTGTACTACGATACGGATGATGTCGACGGCGATGTGGTTGGCGTTGGTGTGGTTAGTTTTCGTGGTCGTTGAAGCGTGACGGGGATCGCGAAGGGCCGGTCCGTAACCCTATCCCTGATCGATGGCGACAGTTTGCGACGGTCTGTCGGTTCTCTTCCTACCGTAATTCGGCGCTTTCGCCCCGTTGCTCTTCTAGATTGGAAGAGACATCACGCCTCTATGAGATGATGTAAACTCGAAATACATGACGCGCCTTTGTATTTACTTTATCAGTCGTAATTATTATTAGTAATTTTCCTTAATACGAGAAGAGATTGTTTTATTTCTATCTTGTTTTTTCAATTCTTCTTTTATGCACAAACTCTTAGATATTAGTGTTACGCGTTAATATATGCTAATAATTCATCGAACAACCGTATGTCTGAGCAACAAACTGAACAAAATATGCAGTGAATTGGTATTAACGCGTTTCAGCTAATGGAAGAAGAGTGCTCGAGTTTCAAGTCGATGATCGTGACTAGCTGCAGCGAGACGAAATCGTTACTCGTGCTCGCAGATAATAAATTATATAAATTTCGCGAGATAAATCGCGATCAACGGCGGCCAAGTATCCAGTCACCTCTTTTGCCAGTAGAAAGAAGGGATAGATGGGAACGCAAAATGAAACGAATAAAGTCGATGAAAAGATAGAGCGTTGTCGTCGTCATCGGGAGACAGGACGAGGGTGTGTAGGAAGATGTAGGAGGAGAGAGACTAGAAAATACAAGAGAGAAAGGGAGGGAGGGCAAACACGAAGAATGCCACGGCAATCGTAATGGGTTTGCAGTAGTGGCAACGGCAGCAGCAGTAACGCTGTTGCAGGTAATAACCATCGCGTATATAACGACACGATGAGTCGTGGGTAGCTCTCGGCCGATGGACTCGGGGCCCCTCGACGGCTTTCACGAGGTTCCCTAGTTTCTGCCCGCGGTGTACCGAATGCACGATCCTTCCGAGCTTGATTACCCGAACCCTTTTACCACGAAGATGGGCAACGAGACAGTCATGGAGGAATCTTCGCGCCGCACATTCCAATAGTGATCATATAATTCCTCTTATCGTTATCTAATTAATTATTTATTTTGAGTTAAAATATCTCGCGTGGCACGTGATGTAATATCGGGAATTATTTGCTAAAGTATATTGTATATAAATAATACGTGAGATGAATATTATTTTAGTTGCTGAAATTAAAGCGCGATATAAGAAACGCGACAGTTACCCTTTTCTGTTACTGTTAAAAAAGTAATTTCAAAGGTAATAACTAAGAAGTAAAATTTTGCAAATAGATTAATACCCTTCGTACGAACCTGCGTTTTAACGTTCGTAATTAGCAACGATCACGGTAGTGCGTCGCCGCGCGACGTTTGCAAATGCACATGTTTTACACGAGGGACAGCTCGTTATTAAGATTACACGGGTGTGACATCCAATTTTACCACGCCAAGTTTCTCTTTCCCTCATAACGGGTATCAACTACCGCATTTCGCGAAATCGACGTTACCTCCGTGAAAGTTAGTATCTTCTTTTTAGAATTATTAAAATTTTGATATAATTGATAGAATCCTGCAGTGATCTTCCTCAGAGTTCTCCTCAATATGTACAAATTTTTTCCAACTTTATAATTCTTTATTTTAATAACTTTTTTTTTTTAAACTTATGGTTAGTATTTTTCGCGTTAATTATTGAAGAATGACACACTCACACACCTTCAGCAGAGCCAGTTTCAATCTCTCGTATCCGGAAGAGACGACGCATCGAATCCGGGATGCGCGGCGCGAGCGGTTTGCATAGTTACATAAAGTTGTACGGCTTATCGGCCGCTATCTCTCTCGCGTCGTTCCGCGATGATGCGATTTCCTCTTTGCAACTTCGACTCGTTCGACGTCATCGCCGTTCGACCGGGCCCTTTCTCCTGTCGATCTTCCCACAAGCGGCAGCAACAGCAGCAATGCGAGTGCAACGCTGGTACACCGGCGCGGTCTTTGTCGTCGCGCGATGTATTTCGTGTCCTGCCTCCTTAAACGCTGCTCGTAACGACGACGACGACGAAGACGATGATGATGACGAGCACAGAAATAGCGACGAACGTGCTGGTTTCGGTCTGGCCTCGAAAGCACGCTTGGTGAGTGACTAATACACAGTGTCTCGGAATCAAGCACTTCCCACGGGAGCTAAACTCTAGCGGTATCACTTTAAGATCATTCTTTTTTAACCATGAGCTTGATATTAAAAATGAGAAACTACGTGAATTTTTTTTATGCGCTGAATAACTTAGGCACAAATTGTAATTATAAAGATATTTTTAATTACTTTTAAAATTAGATTTATTTTGATTTGCGCAATGAAATAAAAATTTTTTAGGATTCCTTTTATATATTATAAGTATCGTGTACTTACAACACGAAATCTTTGTGTAACGAAAATGAAAAGGAAGCGGAAGAAACGAAAAACAAAAGTTCATTTTTTTTTATGTATCATTATTAATCGTCCACTGTCGTTTGCGTGACATCGTTATATTGACAATTCATCTATTTACACGTTCCATATAATAATAATATTAATAATTAATAATAATCGCAATTGTATAGTCCTACTACAAATATACAGATGTGCTGCGTGTATGTCAGTGTATGTATACGCTGTGTGCATATTAACTTTTTTCTGTTTTATACAAAAACGGGGTACGGTACGCCTTAGAATAGTCTTTACAATCTTCGTCAATGCCTCATCGCGAACGAAAGGCCACTATCAGTGGGAAACAATTTTCCTTTTTCTCGCGAATACGCATCGCTGGTACAAAAAAAAGTAATTCTAATTCGAAAGTCTAAAAGTTCGAGACGTCGTTGAAAAAAATCTAATCGGGAGTGGGACAAGGGGATATGGATGGATGGGAATGACGGAGACCATTCAACGATAACGAGACATATCAAATCGTCCGAAGAAGTGTAAGTACAAAAAATGACAACAGCTTTATTACACATCGTAATTCGTACAATATAATCTCGCATTTACACGCACGCGTTTCTCGTTAATTTGGAGTCTGTACGCGCGCGATGGCGGCTGTCGGGAGCTCGACGGAGTGGAGAAAAGGATTGGGAGATTGGAAGCCAGACGAAAAGGATTGGATTCATCGCGATCTTCGATTAAACCGCGGATGTCACCGTTGTAGGTACGGTCGCCATTATCTAAAATAAAGCGTCACCGATTATGTACGACTGTCATGTAAATGCGAAAAGAAAAAACACCCTGTTTGCGCCACCGCGCGCGAACGAGACCCGAAAATAAACCTGACTTAGTCGGTACTTGCATTTCGTTTATTTAATTATCATTATTTCGTAACAGGAACATCATCGAATCTTTGTTCGCTACAATTCTCTCCCTCTCTTTCACTCGGTCACTCATTCACTCATTTTCTCTCTCTCTCTCTCTCTCTCTCTCTCCCACTCTTCGTACATCGCAAGCGCGTTTCACGCGACAATATCGTCATCACTGTCATCGGCGCACTAATCGCCATTTATTTTTTTTTACGCTGTGTAAAATCGTCATTAGCAGTCATAAATAAATAGTTAATTATCATAATCAATCGTGCAGCATCAACATACAATAATCGTCACTTATCTATCACGCATTCGTGGGCGAAGTCAGCGAGCGTACCGCCGAAAAAAGCGCGGCTGAAAATGAGAGAAGATTCGCAAAAGCCGAATTGTTTCTGGGTGATCTTTCCAGATTTTTCTTTCTCGCATGAATGAACGCGGACAATACGAGTCGATTACTTCACGGATTCGGTCATTCGTGAGAGCGAATAAACGCGGAAGAGACGACCGAATCCGCCGAAATCTTAACTTTGATCGCAGCTCAACCGCCAGTTTCATCATAACTTTTCAAAAGTATATGACTCTTAGAAACGAACAACGTGAGAGTCCATGAGAAGTCCATCCAGGAAAAAAAATATTTGAAAAAAAATCAGAATGTGTTCTCATTTAAAGAAGTGCTTTTAAATATCGAATTACTTTTTAGACGTTTCTGCAAAACATTCGCGTTGCTCGTGAGAAGAGGGTTGCGCCACGATCAGATTTAATCGATTGAGAATTCGATCCGACGTTCTCTCGCGTGACAATAATCACTCCTTCGATATCTCTCTCGCCGATTTCGATACCAAATCATTTCGGAACAAACCGTAGCATCATCGAAATGCTGTTATCGACGACACCGGGTTCCTATCTCTCACTGTTCATTTATATATATTTATTTTTATTCATTTATTTAATATATCTCTATATATATCTGCATAATTTATACACATCTATCCGTTCGTCTTTTCAACGCGAGCAATGTCTCGTCGAACGGTACACGTCGTTTGTGTAGCAATCATAGGATTCGTAGAAAATCGATGATTACTTTTTTTTTTAAACGAAGAAAAGCCAACGCTGCGCGATTTCTTTGGAATTTATCAAATCAGCGAATAAATTTTCCACTATCATGTATCGCCCCGACAGTTGGATGGAATTCGATGAAAGTATGTCAAAGACTAGCTCTACAAGCTTCGCACGCACGGGCTTTCCCTTCTGCATTTACTCGGTACTTTTTTTTTATCCTTTTCTACGAAAACTATCGCATCGCTCAATTTAATTTCACATATTAAATTTACTTGAATTACCGCGATGGAATAACGACGTTTTCGGATTAAAAAGGACGGAATTTTGTTAAGAGTCATGTGCCGCTTTCCATCCTTTCTTCCAAATGTTCCTTTGAGCCGATTGAAAATCGGCGTGGAAAACGGATGTCTATAGGATCACTCGACCAATTGAGGCTATCCCTGAAACGGAGAATCTCAAAAAGTCGAGGGAAAATTTCTTTGAAGTGTCATTTTAAATATCAATTTTCATGCTTTTCATCACTGGACGTTGTCACCATAAGCGGAAGTCGCTCAACGGTATTTTCTCTGAGAAAAGGAATGTTTTGTAAAAAAAAGGGAAAAAAAGAGGCGGTATTACACGAAACATTAATTCCGAATACGAAAAGACGACGTCGTTCCGAGGATGCTAATCCGTCGTTAAATTTTCTCGCTCGCAATTACACATATACACAAGTACTCTGCACACATACTCATTCATTCTTACACGTATACCGACAATATACATGAAAGATCTTTCGCTGTCGTATTCTTGCTCCAGTCGGCAGCTCGGTCACGCAAATTCGAAAAAGAACTAATACCGAGAACAATAATAATGCGACACGATGTAATAATATTAATAATAATAATAATTAATAGCAATCAGTAATACAATAAGTAAATAACAATAATAATAAATTAGTTCTGTACAGAGTTTCACTTTCGAGCACGATATAATATTAATACCTAAGGATGGGTCGGCGGCCGCCCGAGAAAACCGACCGACCCCCACAGCATCGCGTTAATTCTTTTCCTTGTCTGTGTCGCCTCTCGATCAGCCCCGATCGAACGTCTTCGATCAGTCTGTCACCGCTCCTGTTTTAGTATAATAGGGACGACCTACCCTCATGACTGGTCAAACTGGCCGGCGGCGCGGTGCAGTGCGTATTTCTTCTCGAAACGATGTTTATCGCGGAATCCTACCGGCGCCAAAATAGCGGATGCACAAGCACTTTCGCAAAAAAATGTCATAAAAATTATAAAAAAAAGAAAAGAAAAGGAAATAAACACCCGCAGGTATCCCAGACGAGGCGTCCCCGTCCGGAGGATATCGCGGCGGCGTCGCTCGAGAAAAACCGAAGGAAATCGAACGGGGTGGTCTGTCAATTTACGCGCACGGAGAAAACAAGATCTACAATTCGCACACGCACATGCACTGATTCTATTACTTTTTTTCTCTCATGCACTCTCTCTTTTTCTCTATCACTCTAAGTGGGGAGTCCGACGTTCGGAGTCTACTACACTTCCGTCGCGAGCGTCGCCGCCAGCGTGGCGTCGTGCCTGACGTAGTGATCGTCTATCACGTACACACCGCAATTGCTGTTGTCCGTGGCACCACCACCGCTTCCCGGTGGACCACTACTATTACTACTGACGACACCGGCGCCGTTGGCTTCCGATATCGTCGTCGGCCTTTTCATCAGTGCGGCTTCCGCGGCGCAACAACTGTCCGCCGCGTTGCCAGTAGCGGCAAATACAGATGACCTTTTGGCACTCTCCAAGACCCCGATACCGAGACCTAGGCCGAGACAATCCTTCTCCTTCTGGAAGAGGTGCGCAGACGCCCGATGGGCTGCAGCCTCCGTGTTCAGCTGTTTCGTCGTTCTTGTCCGGCCGTCTTGCAGCACCGGCTCTGGCTTGTAACCCGAACACGAACTGTCCAACGTCACATCAGTTTGGAACGACGAATCTAAGTCGTCCTGCCGCGACGCTGCCGACGCCACATTGTTTACACTTTTACTCGCCGTCCAGGTGTTCTTGATCATGTGCGCGTCGCCGGTGCCCAGGGCGCAAACACTACCGCCGCCCGTGCCGATCAGACCATTACCACTGCCGAGGAGACCGCCGACGCTCCCTATACCGCCACCGCCAATGCCAGTGCCTCCGACGCCGATGGTACTGGCGCTACGTTTGCTCATGCTGCTGTGCACCGCGTTCCTCTCGTTCTGCAGCCTCGCTTCCTCGTCGGCTTTCGCCTGTTCCCGCTTTTGTCGTCTCTTCATGCACATCACCGCGACTGCAGCGAATAGCGCGAAAGCCGGTACTGCGGTGGAAAGAGTCGCGATCATCACTAGGTGTTCCGTGGTCAGGCTGGTTTTTCTGGAGGCAACGTGCTTCGATAAATTTCCGGGCCAATGGCCGCTTCCCGAGGACGGTTCTGCCAGCGGCACGTTCGCGGGCGGTGATGTAATCGGGGGTGCCACTACGACACCGGCTTTTTCGTTGCAAGTGTCACCGTGCCAATCGTTCGGGCACTCGCACAAGAAGCCGTTGACACGGTTCCGGCATATACCGCCATTCTGGCACGGCGCGCTCCGGCATTCATCTACATCCACGCTACAATCCTTGCCGGTGAAACCAGGCTTGCACGTACAATGATAGTCATTGGTCCCAGAAGTGCATCTGCCTCCGTTCGCGCATGGTTTTGCCAGGCAGTAGTCTACCTTGTCTTGGCAGAGCCTGCCGACGTAACCAGGTACACATTGGCAGCGGAAGCTGTTCACCTGGTCCTTGCAGGTGCCGCCGTTCAGACACGGATCGCCCTGACAGTCGTCTACGTTGATCTCGCAGCGCTCGCCGGTGAAGCCGGCAAGGCATGTGCATCGGTAACCGTTGATATTGTTCGTGCAGGTGCCGTTGTTCGCGCAGGGATTCGGCGAGCACTCGTCGACCTGCGATTCACAGTCGGTGCCGATGTAACCGGACGGGCAATGGCACACGTAGCCGCGAAGAGAGTCGTCCTCACAGGTGGCGCCATGTCGACAGGGTGAGTCTCGGCAGGATCGCGTCGTGATCTCGCAGTGTCGGCCGCGCCAACCAGGTGGACAGGTGCAGCGGTAGCTTCGACGATGCTGCTGCCTGGAGGACGACGATAACTCGGTACCATTGCCGTTCACGTAGCTCACGGACGGCAACTCCGTCATCGTGCAGGTACCACCGTTCAGGCAGGGCTTCGAGTGACAGTCGAAGAGCGGCGTCTGGCATTCGGTACCAGTGAAGCCTGACGGACACGAGCAGGTGTAAGAGCCCTGGCCGGTGTTGAAGCAGGTGCCGCCGTTCATGCACGGCTTATGATTCGTGCAATAGTTGAGATCTTGATTGCAGAATAGTCCGCCCCAGCCCTCGTCGCACGCGCACTCCCAGGGCTTTTGGCAGCTACCGTGGAGGCAGCCCGGATATCGAACGCACTGATTGCATAGCGAGCCTTTCCAGCCGTTGTGGCATCTGCAACAATACGAGACATGGCTCTTTAGCGATGCTCGGATGCTGTGATTACGAGAAAATAAGAAACAAAGCAAAAGGCTAACACATGTATCATATCTGCAGTCTACGGTCAAATAACCACCGGCAAAAAGTAAAATGAACGACAAAGATATGTCATGGTTTCTACGAAAGCTGAATCATTCTCGAAGATAAATCATTCTCTCTCTCTCTCTTGGTAACTGTATATACTATCAGATTTTGTCAAGACAGTGCCTAGCGAGGTTGGCGCATGGATGGATGACCCACGCGCAATTCAGTATTATTAGGTCTGGTTAAATCATCGTGGCTGTGTTTTGACAGAGATCCAATCGTGAAACGAAGTTTAGGTCTACATACTTCGATATTCGAATTCCTCCAACCCTCTTCTGTCTTCCGTCAGTCACGAGTCTCGAGGAGTTTCACCGGTGACGGACGGAAGGCAGTCGTGGGTGCAAGAAGAAGGTCGACGAAATCCCGGTGAACGAGAAGAGCACTTGCGAGAAGAAGGAAGGAGGAGGGGGAGAGAGAGGGGGGGGGAGAAAGAGCGAAAAAGGGACAGAGGTCGGCGACGACATCGAAAGTATGTGTGTATACGCGCGTGCGGATGTGTGCAATATGTGACAGGAAGACGAGAGAGGAAAGGATAGCACGAGGACTTCTCTCGGCCGAGTCGCGAAGAAAGAAAAGATTCGCGGTCCGTGCGCGGAGGAGGAGGATAACCGGCGAGGGAGGGGAAAGAGGCAACGTACAGCGACAGGGAATATCTTAAAAGTGGATAAAGCCGGTAGGAGAGAAAAAGATGAAACGTTTGGTGAAGGGTGAGAGGGTGGTATGCCAGGAGATGACGATGATACGCTGGTCGGCCATTACATTACGTGCGGGGGTTCACGGAGGAATGAAGGAGAAAGAGACTGGGACAGACAGAGATAACGAAAGAACGAGAGGTGGAATGAAAAGAGGAAGCTACATGTGTGTGTGCTATACGGCATGATGCACACACGTGCATATACAGAGAAACAGCTTCAATGTGTGTATAGGGTGCACACGAGCGCATTGAGAAAAAGAGAGAAGGGGTAGAGAAGGGACCGAAGGTGGCGCGAGCTGGAAGAAGCAGTCATTGAAGGGTGGGGACAGGGGGCCCGGGATGCGAGAGAGCGCGCGAGAGAAGGACAACAGCGAGGAAGAGTTCGCGGAAGGGAGAGGTAGACGTGCGGGACCAACGGGGACGACGGTGCGGAGAGAAGAGTAAGGAGGAAGGCAGAAGAGGGGGGGGGGAGTAGAATTCTGACGGAGCGGTGGGGGATGAGTCGTCGAGTAGTGTGTTCCCACGGTTCGAGCCTCAGCACAGCCGTTCAGTATGCGGGTCAAGGAAAGGTTACCCTCCTCTGTGTGCGTGCATGCGCTCGCGCGCGCCTGCTCGCGGTGCCCCACACTATTGCACGTATTCGCGTGTATATACATCACTACATAGCCGCTCTCTCGTTGTGACTCTATCGTGGTCAGAAAGAGATAGTAGAAGAATAAAGGTATAGAGAAGGGTAAGGAAGACAGGTAGAGAAAGAAGAATGAAGAGCAAAGGAAAAAGCAGAGGATAGCGACGGCAGAGGGGAAACTGCAGCCGTGGATGTCGCATGACTATACCATTAAGTCCTATGTACAAAGTAGAAGAGAGAGAGAGAGAGAGAAACCGCTGCAAACTAATAAGAATAAGAGAAAAAAGGAAAGAAGAGCACGAGTAAAGGTGTAGAGAGACAGTAGGTACTGGTAAAAGAAAAGGAGAAGAAACGAGATCACGGGGGTTGTAAAGTTAGCCAAACTGTGTGCCGTGCGGATTATTCCTGATCGTTTGTTACTACAAAAGACGAAGATAAAAGATGCACCTAGGAACGTGTACTCCCTAAAGAACACCGGCGAGCGGCGTCTACGTGATCGCGCATTCTACTTTGTATAGCTAGGCTGCAACAGAATCGCGACTGTGCCATAATTACCACCGGGGGATAGGTCATGCACTGACGAGGGCGAAGGGGAACAGAAGAAGGAAGAGAAGGTGGAGAAGGAGGATTGGCTCACCGGTCGGCTATAGAAATCCCGCGCGCATATCGGACTTGGTTAAATGTCTCTCTGGAAGAGACGAGAGAGAGAGAGAGAGAGAGAGAGAGAGAGAGAGAGAATGACTTCTCTCTCTCTCTCTCTCTCTCGTCTTCTCTTCCTCCTCCGCCACTCTTGTATCATCAGATGCGAGAATACCGCGCCACGTCCGAGACGCGACTGCGTTCTTTGACCTTTGCCTGTTAGTATGCGACTATTTAAACGGGATCGAATCAAAACGATATCGCGAAATGTAACAGAAAATCAAGAGATTCAATTTTAATATTCGCCAAGAAAAATATTAAATTCCTATGCGTGCGTGAATGATTTATTATATCATTGGGAAATACGCAGAATTTAAAACAAATTAAACTCACCTGTAATTTTATATATATTCTAATTTTAATTCTCCTCGAAAATTAAATGTCGAAATATGACAGGTGTCTCACAGTTCTGTCTCTTCCTCCTTGAATTTCCTTTTTAATGTTCAAGCAACATCGTTCGCTCTCACCCCAAAGAGACGAGAGATCGTAACGTCTATGCATCGTCATCGGTATTCAGGCATCACACGCACGCACAACCGCACGCGGGCCCCAAAATTTCAATGGGGCGTCCAACAGCCGTGATTCTTCCACGTATCACGAGCGCGATATCCCACGAGTCCGGCGAGGCCCGTCACCTCGAAATGATCGTTATCGTCCTTTCCAAGTATACGCGAATATACGCTATGCGACTGAAAACGAGCGTATCGTAATTCCATTCCCGCAATCTACGTAATCATCTACGATCGGGGCGTGTAAAGTGGCATGCGTCAGCCATTGTCGCGTGCACGTGGAGTGCGATCAAGGTTAACGCCGATCAAATTCCGTTACATTCATGTAACGATATTTTTATTCATCAAGTTTGAGCGTCGAATAGTCTCTTAAGGTTGTATAAAAAATTTACCCGTAATGAAGGTTGGCGTGTACGCGTAATATGTACGCGGATAATTGACGTTCGTTGCGTGTCGTGTCATCATAATGATCGTATTAAAATGGTGCACGAAATAATAATACTCGACGAAGAGACGACATACCACATACGTGACTTACACCGAAGGAACATTTTTACACAGTAGTTGCACAAATTAATTTTCTACAAGTCTGTGGAACATTTAAAGGTATTCATAATATGATAAATTATCAAAGCATTTGATAATTTTAAAAATAATTATTAAATATTTTTAAAAGACAATCTAAAATTGATTCGCAAATTATTCGAAATCAATTTGTTCTCGAATTTAATCATCGGCGTTATGTGGTCTCGGTAACGCTGCAAACACGCAATCTGCGTAGTGCGTTTATTGCCATCGTCACGAGAAACTCTCGATATTCATCGCCGGAGAATTCACGACGACGATGTGTATTTCGCAGTGCGGGAAAATCCGCACCGTTCCTCCTTTCACAATCTTTGAGCCTCGCGACGACACCAATTCTAACAGGGACGCTCGAAGCGACTCAAGAAACATGACGGAAACAATTATAAGAGAAATAAAGAATAAAAAATTATTTAAACGTCAAGCACTTAGATCCGCTTTACCGTGCTTGACGTTTTAAAGTTTTCAATTATTTAAATGTATTTTAAATGTTAAAAAGTGGTGAGAAAAAGATTATAACTGAATAAATTATCGTTATAGAAAAATAAACTTAAAATTAATTAAAAAATCGTACATAAATATTAATACAAAAAGATTGAATCACTCTACACGTGGTCTTGTACATATATATATATTTTTCTTTTTCTAAAGATTTTGCCAAGAGGATGATTTGGTTGAAAAATCACGCGACAGAACGAAGCGAACATGGATAAGACGCGAATGACGAACTCGTGGCTGCGGCTAACGGGACAATTAACCCTGCTCGTAAAGTAATTAGATGATTGAGTTAACTCCAAACCCTGGGTTAACGCGACTGCAGACTGAGATTCGAGCCGATATGCTAGCGCGATGCAATATCTTGAAATGCGTGACATTTGAGAATAAGATTAGCAGTCATTGTATTATTTAATTATGATATAAAAATAAAAATACTATCGAAGGTTTTTAATATTAATATTATAAACATATTATTTAAACGCAAAAAAACTGAGGCCTCTCGAAATTTTTTCTATACATTTTTGAAAATAATTTAAAAATAATCCATGGTAAAGATAAAATTTAAAATACAATTGAATACCCTGAAAGAGATAGGAGAATGACTTTGAGGAAATGTGGTTAAAGTCGGATTCCGGAATCTTGCCAAACGATGCGACGGATTTAATCCGGAAAATTCAACAGCACGTCGAATAGCGCGAGCCAAGAAAGAAAAAGAGAAAGACACAAAGAGGAAATGCTAATAAAAATAGGAAAAAGAAGGAAGAGAGAAGCGATGGAATCTGGAAAGGATGAAAGAACGATTGGCACCTCGGAAACTGCCTCGTTAGAACGGAAAGCAATCGGGGAATTTCAAATTCCACTTCGCCCTTCCTTCTTGCTGCATGCGCGCACACTCATAAAAGCGTTACAAAAATATGCGTATGATAATATGCAACGGGTGCGCACTTGTAATGCCGTCGCGAATGCACGCGCCGTAACAGGACTGTTAAGGGTGCATGGCGCGTACGCGTCTTTAAGTTAGCAATAACATTACATTATACGGCACGCAAATGGAATTATTAATTAAAATTGTTGACTTTAAATTATTCGTAAAACAGAATTCGTTTTTATACTTTTAAACCTTATCCTTCTTCCTTAAATTTTTGTGATATAGAATACACTATACCGATAGACAATTTAAAAAATTGAAATGAATCATCAAAGATGAATCATCACTGATATTTCTTCCAGTTAGAGCTCTAACATCTCGCGCAAAAGAAAATGAAACGATTCCATACTTTGTGTGTAGGACAGCGTTACTGGAATCGTGACGTGGATCCATGAGCTGCTGGCATATACTTTTTCGAAACCGCGCCGAACGATAATTTACGATAGGTATGCGCGTAATTATTATCGCGCGTACATGCATACGCTGCGGCGGCGGCGGCGGCGGCGGCGCATACAGAGGAGTGGATGCACCATGTCGGGGCCCAGGAATTTAGTTGGCGGTTGTATGGGGCGGCGCAATGTACACATACACGTGCAAATAGCATACACACCACGAGCGCACGTGCAAGTATTAGGCGAAGCCAATGTATGTATACTCACATGCATTCGTTGGGTCGATTGCAGTGTCCGTGCTGCTCGTCGCATCCGGGCAGGCAGCGGGCTGAAATGAGTAAGAAAAAATCCAAGAGGTTAAGGCAACTCTCGGCGAGAGGTCGATCGCGTCCCTCACGACTGCACGAGCGAGCGGTGAATATGGTGTATATAGATACGATATGTCCGATGGCATGCATATACACGCGTACGGTAGTTCGTCCTTCTTTACATTTCGGGATATAAAATACTTCTGTATACTGTAATTGATTACAGCATATGTAGTTATGATTAAGCTCAAAAGAACCAAATAGTCCAACTGATCTCTCTCATTATTGAAGATTATACATTATTTTCATTTATATTTCTAGCTTTACTGTTTTAGTTTGCACTTTTATTCTTTTCATACCTTTTCAATTTACTTTCTAAAAATGCCTCTAATAATAATAATAATTAAAATTGTAATAATTAAAACGCTGTGTGTACAGGAAACGGAAGGATTAACAGGTGGTGGTACCGCACGAAAGACGCATGACATTTCCTTATCGGACATGTAAACCGCAAACGAATGACTCGATCGAATTTGAGGGGGCGCGTAACGGCACCCCGGATGCGGGCCGTTTAAAGGCAAGGAGAACGACACGCATCACGTGCAGTAAGCGTTTGCTCTTCATATTGTTTCGGTAACCAGTCGACTAATTTTCCTGCCGCATACGTAATACCAGGAAACTCGATGGCTACCGGCCAACTAGCAAAAGCGCAAATCCCCTCTCCCCTCCCCCTTCTTCTTCACGAGATTCGCGAACTAGACGTTGCATCGAACGACGCGTGACACAATTTCATTACCCTTGCGATCTATCGTTGGCAACTCGCGCCGCGTGCAAGTATGTGAGGAATCAATAGCCGACCGTTTGGATTCCTTTCTCGTCACCTTGTTAACTCTTCCAGGGAGACGGCAACGCGATAACTGACGTCGAGTTTGCACGTCATTCTTCAAGAAAGGATGGAAAATATTTAGCTCAAAATTCATGTCTATATGTATTATGGAAGAAAGTTTATTAGAACAGCATCATCAATCATATGCCAGCATTACTACTACATAGGATTAATTAAACTTTACCGGTCTACAACGAAGCGCTCGTAAAAGTAACGATTTTGCTAACAGCAGATCGCCGACGAGACTAGAAACCGGGTTGGAAATAGAAAGGAAAAATCCCGATACGCTCGATGCCGGTGAATGAAGGGGTTGAGGGCGGCAGTTCGACGATTCCGACACGGTTCAGCGAGGCAGGGCCGGTGAGCAGGGCCAGCCAGCAGCAGCACGAGGGCCGCGTGACCTTGGCACCGAGCGCAACGGCCCGACTCTCTTACTCGCCATGGCCGGTCGGATGGACGGACGGACTTCGGCGCGGTGCGGCACGGTACGGCGCGGCATGGCGCGGCGCGACGCGGCGCAGCGCGGTATGGCATGGCACAGGCCGAGCGCGCTAAGGAGTATGGTATTTATAGAGCGGAGAACGAGAGATACGACCCCCCTCGGCCCCGCCATCGGAGCCGCCGCGATCTCTTCTCCTCGTGGCCTCTCTGGCCGCCGCGCCGCGCCGCGCCGCGCCGGCCGTGCCGGTGTATCGTCGACGAACGACCGAATCGCAGAGATTCCACTGCGACCCTCCTCCCTGCCTCCACCATTTCCTTCTTCCCTTCATCCTCAAGTGTACCACCTTTTCGCCGTACCGTTGCCGAAGAAGAAAAGGGAAGAATGGACCTTTTCTCCCTGGCGAGGAAGGAGGTGCGACGGAGAGAAGCCAGTGACTAAACAAATCTCGTAAGCCGCGACAAATCTTACCCTTCGAGGATTATTTACGACCGATTTGTGGCCGCGCGATTTTTCGAGATAAAACCTTGCGAGGTGGGCTATAAATTCGCCGCGTGTTCTTCTCCTGCGGAACGCTGGTCCTCCAAGCCGACCAAAGTGTTCCGAGAAGCTGAGAAGAAGACGTCGAAGATCCTGTATTTCATTCGATGCAATATTTCAACGATCGCGTTTCTCAAATTAAGCTTTCTACAGAGTGTCTAACAGAATATTGATAAGCTCTCGACATAATAAATACAACAAGAATCTAACAAAACGGATAATTAAATTATATTTGTATACACATATAACGTAACGAATTGTAAATTATATTCCGTGGGGTTTTATGAAACGGTAAACTGTAAACGATTGAAATCGGTTATTAGGTCAGACTGGTAACGATGAAATGAAATAATGACGATTATTCGTTTCCATTTTAATGGCTTAACATTTTGAAATACAATTGAAATTATTAATTAGCAATAAGCTAGTTTGTTTTCATTTTCATATCAAATTGACCTAATTAGTTAATTAATTAATATTCACCTCTTACATTTTGTTATATTATAACTGTTATTTTATAATATCATATGCTTTTATTGTTTAAATGTTAATTGAAAATTATTCTGTATTATAAAAATTGTAGAAGTCGATCAATCGAGGACTCCTTCGTTTAAATTTTGGAAATACTTTTTACTCCCTTTAAATACTCAAACATATATGTATATGAACAAATTTTAATTTAGATATTTATAGAATTAATTACAATTAAAATCATCCGTGTAGATATATGATAAAGTTTGAAAAAAAAAAAAAAAAACGGTTATTAATAAATAAAATATATCATAAATATTATATTGGTATTAAATATGTAAATAGAACAGGTAACACATATAATGCACTCCAAGTGTCATTCTCAATGAATCTACCGACTTTTGCGCACCGGTTCTTTTTAAGCGCCTGATCCCTAAGTAGAAAAAAGAAAGACACATCCCGAATTTCCCTTGTTCCGCAACGTACTTATTGATTTCCTATCCATGGTCCCTGATTTCCATTCAAAACGATCATCAGCACCGACTCCCTTTGGAAATAAAACAGGATACCGATCCACCCATTTCTCCCCTCAAAATCTTTCTTTTTTTTCTTCCTTGCAAGAATAGTTGTCGCCATCTCTTGCCTTTAAGGTACCTGTCGTATTGTGGCAAATATCTGCTAAATGTAGTCCACGCGAGCAGTTAAAAGTCAGATGAAAGAATACCGCCACAATTTTTCTATAGGATATAAAGTATAAGCAGGATTCGAATATTCTTCCAACATTTTCGCTGACTCGTGAAGTCACTTATAAGAGGATTGTAAGAATTAGTCTTTCACGACCGGAAATTACATATCTATTGTGATCAAGTTTTTAGGCAAAAACCTACATAAATTTTCGGTTGAGAAGCGTATCCTGAAAGGTAGCCATTATTATTGGCTGCTTTATTTAACGATGATCTTGTTGAAGTAGGTCGACTCAAGCTAAGCCTATATTCCGCAACCACAATTGGCACGATTCGGCATGAAAAGTTCAGTCAGGTAGACCAAAAGATAAAAGGGAACACCGAAGGTACATTCGGAAAAATGTCGTAGAGGGGTAACAAAAACTGCGGGGATAAGCAGGAAGAGAGGGAAAAGGGGGGGGGGGAATAGTGGAGCCGGAATGTACGTGGACTGCGAGTGCGAGTCCGGGGCAGCTGTTAGTTAAAGCACCGTCCTCTCGATGCAGCTGTCAGGGCCCAACTCGCTCAGGCCAGCTCGTTCGCGCGTTGCAGCTGCTCTCTCTCTCTCTTTGCGCGCCCGCCAACAACCCCTATATAACGCCTTCGTATTGGCACCCCCGAAAGAGTCAGACTGCTTACAACGTGCCCTATTCTCGACCGATCGAGGTACCCCTTTCACCATGGGGTTAACGACAGAGTGAGATAGAGAGAGTTAACCCTTCGTCATGTGCGATCGAAGCCGTTGCAGAGAAAGTGCATGTTCGGCAGAGTGCGGCAATCCAGTCGCGAAACTGCTCGATGAAAAGTACCTTCTAGATATCGATTTGGATTAGACGAGGGGGTGTGAAAATTTGACACGAATAAATGGAGAAAAATCGACAATCGGAAAAGCGACTTCGAAGAAGCAAGAAAACATTAATGCACTTATATTAATCTTCGAAAAAATGCCAACTTTTATAATACATAAATCCATTTATAAAGTATAATATCGTAATGATATAATCAAATTTCTGTACTCCAGAATACAATACTCTAGAAGATTAACACAAATATGACATAAAAAAAACACATTAAAAAAATAAAGAAAAGAACGCTATGAAGATTCGGGAAGATACATCGCGGAAGTAGCAAAACCGAACGCGAGATACTGTCGTTTTAGCAGATTCCGAAGAAGTGAAAGTCCTTTTGTGTTCTCGCGAGACTCGTTCCGAAGGAGAGTCTGCCGCGTTCGTGATTTATATCATCGTATTTCCTGACGTTTTGCGGCCGACTGCTCATCGAGCGAGAGCGCGACAGTGATTTTGCCGCTTCTCGTTATATACTGCATAATCGTTAAACTGCGTATGAAATATTGCGGTAGCGGACAATCAAGATTTTTTACGTTTTATTACTCTGGTAAATGCGTTTCGAAATCGATTTTCTTTTCATAATCTTGCCTTTTTTTTGCCACCAAAAGAAATAATGCAAATTAAAAGATGTCAATAAAGATCGTTGACTGTATCACAAATTTTCTTAAATTAAATCTCACTTTTGCAAAGAATACGATACAAGTTCTAAAAGATCGCTCGAACAACTGATTTGTTGAATGATAGCGAGGAATATCCACGAAATGAAAAATAGTCCATTAGTAATCGACGCGCGAACTTTGTCGATCGCGGCGGCAACGAGCAGTCGGTGTCGAGTGCAACGACCGGGGCCGCACACACGGGGAGACTTCGCCTACGATCGATCTTTCACTTCGATCGGATTCGAGAAAGTCTGGAATTCGGGATCTAAGAATTGGCATAAACGAGGAAAGCTCGTGGGAAAGTGGAAACCTCGAGGAACGATGGTCCAAGCGGAGACATTAATCGCTTCATATATTAATCCCGTAAATTGAATATCGTTAACCTTCGACATTCAAACAGGTATTTTTTTATGCGTATTCTTAAAAACACATAAAAAGATATATAAAAAAACACGCTTATAATACTCACATTATCTATCATGTAAAATACAAAAATATAAGTTACATATTATTTTAAAACGGATTTTGGAATCATGTAATGATTCCATCCCAATAATTTAAGTTTAAGTTATGTAAATTTCAGTTCTAGTATATAATATGAAACAAAATAATTGTGCCTTTTTCACGAATTTTTCCTCGCATTCTTCGCGAAATTTGAAGACATTATTCAACGACATTCGGCGGGTCGGAAAGCAACGTCCAGCTTTTGTCAATTCGACACAATCTGAAAACGAGTCTCGGATTCTTTGAATGAGGACTAAAACTACCGGAGTCCCTTCCTCTTGTGAATAAAACCACCTTTGTACGTACAGGTCAGACGCAGTCGGATACCAGGTGCGGGTACGAACCTGTACGCATCGGAGGCCAGGAGCTCCGACATCGACGACTGTGACTCCGGTAACAGACACGACCGTTCCATCCGACTCGACGGAAGGAGAGAATGAAAGAGCGAAGAATGAGAGAAAGATCGAAAGAGAGAGAGAGAAAGACAGAGCCACACACGAAGGCAGATTTTGCCCCCTCACCTCCTTCGTTCACACAATCTCGGATCATTACACGTGCACACGGATTAGGTCGCGGTCGGCTCTCGCAGGTACGCGAGAGTGAAAAAGAGAGGGATGCTGCAGTCAGGCTGCGGGACGGAGAAGAGTAAAGAAAGAGAGCTCGGACGGAGGAGGGAGTGGGAGAGAGAAAGAGAGAAGGAGATACTCGCACACGCGCGAGCCAAGCGTGGGAAGCTGCTGCACGCTTCGGAGTCTCGATTGCGCCGCGCTGCAGCGCACCACCACCGACTGTACCGGGCCTCTCCTTCGCGCCGGGCAGAGATGCCGAGCTTTGAAAGAACGCGGAGAGCGAGAGAGCGAGAGAGGATAGGAACGGTTCGGCGAGTCGCACCGGGCGATTCGCGAGAGTATCGTCGTTTACCGAGGTAGCGTGCATATTCGACGTCGGTAGGGATCGCGGAGGCAGTAAGGTTGCCTGTTAATAACCGCGTACCTCGCAAAATCCTTGGAAGAAATGCGAGACTGCGTCGAGAGAACGTAGAACAAGCAGCCATAGTCTTTGCTAATTCTCTAATGACTTATAATATCGCATCACGATTCATTCATCATTAGTTATTAGTCCTTACTTATAAGAGTAGTTCTTTAACCCTGGTTTATACAGTTATTATATCAAACTGAGAAAGATGACAGATCAATGTCTGATGATGCGCGCGTGCAGTCGTGATAGAGAACGCGAAAATAAATTAGCGGTCAGGACGCGCTAAAATACGGTGCGCTTATATGAATGTAATGTGCTTACGGGTGTTGCAATAGTCGCCCTTCCAACCAGTGAGACAAACGCGCTCGCCGCTCGGGCTGCAGCTATAGTGGCCGAAGCCGTCATCCCTTGGCCGGCACAAGTCCTCGCAACCCTTGCCGTAATAAGTTGGATTGCAAGTCACCCTATATTCGTACTCTATTTTCGAGTGGGCACTCATGTAATTGTCCACGGTCCATTCCGGTCCGACGTCCAGCCACTTTTGGGTGGTCAGCCGCATGATCAGTACACTCTCTGAAAAACCAAAAGACCATGTTTCATTTAACTGACTTTGTTCATTGACTTCGATGTCAACCTATTCGAATTTCTTTATGGTAATCTTATATTGTATCTTAAGTCACAAAGTAAAACATTATACGCGTATATATAATATTTTCTATATGTCAATTTAAAACTATTATATCGCTGTGATTATCATATAGATATATCGAATGCGTCGATAAAAAAAAATGTTAATCGCCAAATTAACGGTGCGGTCGCACCGGGCAACAATGAGACGTGATGTGACAGTAATTAGTAGACGCGACCAGTACTGGGGCAGAGCGACGAGGTGCACCGCTGCACCCAATGATGCGATCGAAGTGCATCGGCCTCAGGGAGAGAAGCAGAGAGAGAGGGGGGGGGGGGGGCAAACCGGACGTTCGTCCGCTATTGCTACTCTGTCGGCGGCACGCATCCGGCACAAAGAGAGTAAGCGAGTATACCACGTTGTGGCTCTGGGAAAGAGGCGTCCTTCCTCTCTCTTCTTTTCCTTGTCTTTTACCCTCTTTCGTTATCTCTCTTTCTCTCTCATTTCATTCTCGTCTTCGCCTCTGGTTCGTCCTCTCGTCCGGTGTCTTTACTTTCGTGTAAACGAACGGATGAGCGAACGAACGAGCGGAGACTACAACTTTCCTTACACCAGGGCGTATTATCGTAATAGCCCGACAGATTAGGATCCGGGGCTACGATCAGGTGCCCTACCGAAAAACCTGCATCTCACGGCACCGGTTTTCGGTGCACGCGCGTGTGACCGTGCGAGGCGCACAGTCGAAGCGGTAGCGTATATCGGGCCCATCGATTCTCTACTACGATCTATCGTATGTATAGTGAAGATCACTAGCGTAGCCGTGAAGAGGCAAGATCGAATCTAAATGGTTCGAAGATATTGTTCAAAAATTATCACTGACGGATTTAGACGATAACTTGAGCAACGACAGTTCATAATTTTTTCATAATTAATGCTTCCATCATTATTATAGAAGAAAAATTCGATGATCGATATTTTCCAAAATTAGTAAAGTTAAACGTGATTAGAAATGCGATTATTAAAGCTCAAGTACAAAAATTAATTTTAATTTTTATAATTTACTCCTTTATTAATAAAATATCTTATATATATATATATACTTATTATTAGCGAAACAATTCCTAATAGTAACTGTGGAATTGAAGTATATACTCGCTTATCAATATAAATTTTCATGTTGTGAACTGAGAAATTTCTGTAATTTGAAAAGTCATATTCAATTGATATTGCTATCACCTGATAACGCAATTTGCTGACAATGAGAGGGACCCTTCGATCACACGCCACTGTGAACACACACACACACACATTCTCTCTCTGTTCATTGTGCGCATCAAGAAGAAAGAAGGAGTGAAGAAACGAATGAGCGAGGAAAAGAAAGAGCGAGGAGGGAACAAAAGGACGAAGGTTTTCGCCGATGGCGTGCCCGAGGATACTTAAGGAGGGAGTCAGATCAGCCTCTCTTCCCAGAAGGGAAGTGGCTGTCGGCGAAACGGGAGTCGGGAATGAAAGAAAGAGAGAGAAATAGGGGAGGATGTGTATGTGTGTGTGTGTGTGTGCGTAAAAAGAGGGAGAGGTAGTTTACTGGACTATCTTCCCAGGTGATGCTGTTATGAGTTCCGAAAACGCCGATCTTCGTACGCCACACTGTTTCACGTTCGATCTCGAGAGAGAGAGAGCTCCGTTACTCGAAATGTGCGGAGCAATACATAATCAAGAATGAATCGGTTCATAAAGCTTTGTAAAGATGTATATTTCTACAGGGACGAATTGATTAACTAATTAGCAATGCAATGTCCCAAATGCAATATTACATTGACGTTTCCGCATTTTATATTCAGTTCTAACAAGAATTTATAATTATCCTTATCAGCAACATCTTCATTAAACAGTACATATTTAGGAAATATTTGTTATATTTTTTTTACATATTCTAAAATCTAACAAATGCTTTTAGGACACGAATGTGCAAGATGCACGCGCAAGGGGATAGAAGTTGACGTTCCGATGCGTAGTCAGTATTCGCGAAGATGCGCGGAAAAAATTAATCCACGTTTACATTCGCTGGAAGGTGATTACGTTGCGCGCTACCGGCCCGTGTATCGGGCCAAAGTTACAACTTCCTGCTGCTGTTTCCTCCGGACGTATTAGGATGGACATTCGCTATGCCACGAGAGATCGCTGCCGCTCGTTTCTACTTGACCACCGTCCGCGCACGTATACACCCGGTAAACACCCGGCGTGCTCGAGGCCAGGCCGATTCAAGGTATTCATTAACGACGCGCAGCGCCGGCGCGTAGCCGACATTTTCTATTGTTCATTCAGAAACGAGCGGCTGCCGAAGAAGTATAGCCCCCGAGAGAAAGAAGGAGAAAGAACTGGCACGTAGCCAGCGGCGTTTTGCCTCCGCCGCGCTGTTTCTGTGCGCGAAAAAACGACGCGCCGATTATTTAGCAAAATGGATCGTAAAAACCCGAACGCGGCGGATTAACTTCCGAAACGCCGCCGGCTCCGCCCCCACTGAAGTTTAGCAGGTAGTCAACCTATCGGTCACACAAAATTTCGACAATTCCAATGTAGCTCCAATCATTTTCTAAATATATTCTAACTAATAAATAAATATAATCTCAGGTAACATAAAAAAATAAATTTTAATTTACCAAAAAATCTCGTGAAAATTAAATCATATTACGGATTAATAATAATCAAGATTTTAAGAAAATGGATTTATTATTTTTCATTGACTTTCTCAAGGCGTAGCTCGACGATCTTTTCTTTCTTTCTCTCTTTCGCCGGTTGACACGTGGAGTGCGCAAGGAAGGCGACCAATTATCACCGTCATTATTATCATGAAAGAAGGCAGGTGCGCTCTCCTGAGTGCATCGGGCGATGTGCAGCGAGCGAGTCGCGGCGTACAACGGTGTTCTGTTTGTGGAAAGAGAGGAGGGGGGAGAGAGGGAGAGAGAGAGAGAGAGAAAGCACGAGAGACCGGCCAGGAAAAAGCGGTTGACAATCGATGGTGACGTAAGTCACGTGTGGAACCACGACCACTGTTGGAGTTCCTTTCGCTCATATTGTACGTGTATATGTGCATGCGTACGCATCGCGAAGAGCTAACGCGCTATATCAATTGGGAATGAATAGGATACTCTCAAGTCGAGTGTCAGTCTGTCCAATGCGTCCCGGACACATTCAGTCGGCGCAACGGAAACAAATGGCATACATTACACGAGAGAGACATTTTATCTATACAAATTATAATTTTTCGATAAATTCAGAATTAATTCTTGGCTGAAAGAAATTGGTAGATTTCGGCGACTTAATTATCTTATAAAACAAGATTTCTCAGTTATCAATCAATCTTAAATAAACTGGTAGTCTGAATTCGAGAATTGTCTCTTGACACCGAAAAAATCAGAAGCGAAAACGATGTTTGATGTTAGTCTGTTCAAATTTTTTTTCCGTAAGAAGTAGCTCCAGACAATATACGATTCTTCATGGAGATACACATCGACGGTTCCGGAACGTCCACCTTGTAGTTAACGAACCGACGGCGATATTACGAATCGTAGGAACGTACCGTTTCCTCAAATGCGTGCGTTAAAGAAGCGTTTAACAGTACCTCGGCTGGATATCGCGATCTCCATTTAATTCTTTACCACGCGCGTTATCCCATAACGCTTCATAATAGCGCTTGTTGGTTCACCGCGAATGAACGGACAAACGAATGGCGCGCGAGAGAGAGAAGGAGAAAAAGAGGGAAGAATCTTCCTCCTTTTCCCCGCTGGCGCTACGGCGGATGAATGAAGGAAAGGAAGAGTAGTAATCCGATCGGCCTTTACCAAAACGAGCAACGACCGAGCACACGGAACAGGCGGATGTCGGTGAACGTCGTCATTAGCGACAAAGGAAACTGGTTCGCGTACAATAATGCCACTTCATGTGCGCGCTCGACACACGAGGGACCGATCGATCGGCACGTCGAGCGCTCTCTCATCGACACGTGTAATCGTTCGTGCGCGACACCACCTTGCCCCGCCGAGATTTATAAATAACGTCGCATTGGCGGGAATAAAATTAGACCGGAATAAAAAAAAAGGAGACTTTAAGACCATCCGATATTTATTTAAAGTCTCTTATTTTTAGTTGGAACATTTTACGCGTGTGAATGGTTCTTTTTAATTTATGCTACATGCAAGAAATATACCGTTCGAAAGGTAATTCACAAAGATATTAACGAGCAATTCGATATCGAGTCTGTAATACAAGGAATGAGCTCTGTAACAGGATTAAGAACGCGATCTTATCTCCTCTCCCGCGACTACGATCGTCCTTGAGAAAACGTCGCGGCGATAATTAGCGGCAGCGAATGGGATTCCCACGAAATTTTCGTGACACGCGACGCGTGGAGCGAATGCAACTCCGAGCGCAGGTGCAGCGACGCGACGCGTGCACCGGCGGCGTGACACGTATACGCAACGTAACGCAACGCAACGCGGATAATGGGTATGCGTGTGTGCGTGATGGGCAGCTAAAAGGAGGAAGAGGGACGCCCGAAAGGGAAGGAGGCGAGAACGCCAGCGGGGGCGGCGGTTAGAACAGGAGGAGGAGGAGGAGGTAGTGGTGTTCGCCTGAGAAAGGAAGCAGCATCCGAGCAACGCGGCAATAAAGGGCTCGTTTCGCCGGTGCGTTGTGAGTATTATATTGTGCCCGGAGCAGCAGCACGGTAGACGAAGCACAATGTAAGCGGTGTATCTGCGATAAAGGCCCCGGGGATAGGTATATATCCGGGACACGATGTTTGGCGACCCATCATGGATATTGGTGTAGACACTACCGTAGTATATTAACCTTTCAGCATCCAAATTAGTCTCAGACACGTCCATAAATTATTTTTTTCTTTTTCTTTATTTCAATTTTATGTTATCAGACTTAATATTCCTAATGGAATAATCGAGTTATGCTAATTTAAAGAATTTTATGAAGATTTCGAGAATATAATTTGTGTTTGTATGTGTGCATGCGCGTGCGCGTTGGCTGTAAACCATTTTTTTTCCTTGTATTGCAATCTAATAATACATAATTCAATGTTCAACATAAAACGACAAATGTACGAAAAATAATAAACTGAAACAGATTTTGATACGTCAATAACTTATACAACATCAGCGCACCAAGAAAACAATCCCAGGTACCGAAAAGCAGATACGTACAAGGTATATATGTAAATATACATAAGCGGTATATTGACGATAAAATTCAGAAATTGGAAAAGATACATATTTGTCCCGCCTGTATTGCGAACGTTAATACTCGTGTCAGACAGAAAACTCATAGCGATAGCTTAACGTTTCCTCGTTCAACGTGAAATACATGTAGTTATCGTAAAAAATGGAGTAGTTTCGATAACACAATGCAGAAGAAGAAATACAATATACATATATCAAGGAAAACATATTACTTTTTAAATATTTTTTTTAGATAAATATACATTGAATCATTTACTCGCATCTTTACTTATTTTAACGGACAAATATATGTATAATCATATACATGTATAAGGAAATACATGTTCGATCTATGTTGTACCCAGATATACAGGATGGCACGAGAGATTAGCCTGGTCTCCGTATTAATGAGAGTTTTATTAGCACGTATGAGAACACATACGGTAATCTCGGGCATGTTTATTAGAGTTCTTTGAAGCGAAATTTCCCGCGTAACTTCTGAGCTTTCTCGACCCAACAATGAATTCAGTTTTGTACTCTTATGAACTTTGTATCCGTAAACTCGTTTGCGCGCTTCGAGCAGTTACTTCCTCGTCCAGAGAAAGCATATGAGAGAGACAGAGAGAGAGATGAATAGATAAATAAGCGCGAGATCGAATAAAGTACGCGCCGCGTGGCGCCGAAACAGTTAAATTCGGTTAATTGGCCGAAGCCGCGCCGGCGACGACGACGACGACGACGACGGCAGTAGTGGCATAGGTGATACGAGGAGCGACGGCGCGACGCGGCAGTGCACGCGTGTGCGTGTGACACGCATGAGGGCGCGCGGCCGCCGCGCCGCGCGTATGCAGCTTCCGCTCTCTCCCGTCGGCCGATTCTAATTACCGGAGGGGCCCCACGGGACTTCTCGAGGAAGAAATTAAGCGGTCTCGCTCTTCTTACCCCGTTTTTAAAGCCGGTCTCGAGAGTGAATAAAGTGAAGCGGATGCGTGTGCTACCTGCGCGTGAGTGCGTACAGAAAACCGTACGCACTCGCGAGTTTCGCTTGGTGCGCGGATGTTACACGTTGTAACATCCGCCTCCAACAAGACTCTACATGAAATTGTTACATTGAAAATTGGAATAAATGCCAATTAAGTCGGACCAATATTAACATATTCCGGATTTTCGTTTCTTCCTCACAAATCTCTTCGAGCATTTGTTTATCGAGATTATGTTTTCATTGAAAAAATATCCAAATGTTAAATTTAAGAACAATTGATGGTGTCTATAAGCTAGGCACGTTGGATACGCCCGTATATACTCGGTGTCAAGTTACTTCCAGCGCGATGGAAGATGAGTGTACTACGGTTACACAGGAAGGAAACACTAGTGCCGTCGCCGTCACTGCCACCCGGTATCCGCCGTCTCTCCTCTCCTTGCTCTCACTTTCCTCTCTCCCGCAACCTCCTGGTCGACGACACAACGCTATGACACAACGGAGACGCGTTGCCGTAATAACGCGCGGTTACAAACGAGGAACGACCAGCGGCAATAGAGGCTGAATAGAACAATGAAAACGCGACGATTGTTCGCGGAACAACGGCCGATCTCGACGTAAGATTTGCCACGTACATTTACGACCTATCACGTAAAATTGGAAATAACGTTTATGCTAAAGAAATTAATTTCAATGTAATTAACGATAAGAAGTGCTCGAACAAACATGACATAATTCTTCTTTATATACATATAACAAGACGTAACAAAAAGCGGAAAAGCAATTTATTTCGGAATGATAATTAATCATTTGATAAATCAAATGGGGAAAACTTGATAACTAAATACGATGTACGAAAATCGATCTATCCTTCCTTTCTCTTCTTCTTCCGGTTCTCATCTTGAGGGAACTTTAAAGGGATGAGAATCAAGAGATAGTTGACGAAGGAAGGAGAAGGAAGAAAACGAAGGAATCAACGTCTCTGGTAAGTGTCATGCTCAGAGACCGGAAGTGCCTTCTCGACTGGTCCACGTTGCATGAGACATCGTGTCTCTCTTACGAGCCAGCTGGACCACACATGCCCTCCCCGACAACCTTCTTGCCTTCTCTCTTGTGGTTTTAGAAACGTGCGCAACGTCTACAGGACTAATTTTATGATAATCTTTCTTCGAGATTTTTACAAGCGCAAGCGCGCACGCGTATTCGGTATAATCGTGCGTGATCTAAAAACAGAATAAAAGAAAAAAGAGGAAATGCACTCACCGGCCGTGCTGTTGTCCACATCGTGAAAAGCTTCCACTATCAGCGAGAATGTACCCTGTAAATAGAAAAAGAAAGCTACGTAAGTCTCGTGCGTTCCTTGATCAGAATAAAAACAATAAATAACACGTATAATTATAATTAATAATCGTTTTGGAAAGTAAAAGGAGGGAAAAAAATTTCACATAAAATTAATAATTGCTCGTAATTCAGTTTGGTAATTAAGTTTAATGCCGCGGATAATTGAAAAGATGCGTCATTCATATTTTTCGACCGTGACTCGCGAGCACTTTCGAAATATAACGGTGACGCTAGAGGAAATATTTCCGCGGTGAAAGGGTTAATAACAAATTAAACGTTTTGCGGCATGCTGCGTCACGTGCACACCTGCCCCGCGTTGCCACGCGTCCGCCCGCCGACAGAACGACGAGCGTGCACATCAAGTACGAGTGAAGAGAAACGGTTACGCGTCACTGGTAAAGGGAGAGGGAGGGGACCCACAGGACGCGAGAGAGGGCAGGAAGGGGAACAACACGCGCAAAAATCACCCTCTTTCGAGTTATCGTCCAGGCACGAGGGGAATCGCAACCCCACGGGAGTCAACTTCCATAACCACATGATGTTTCCTCAGTGTAAATCACACGTCGCATTAAGATACACGTGCGCGCGTGCTAAGTGCGTCGACACGTGGAAATTACGATCGATTGCGCTAAGTAAATTATTTACGAATGTCAACAGGCAATTTGTAAGTGCGCCACAATCGATTAGCTAAACTCACGTTAATCTCTCCGATTCACGTAATCTCTAATGATTTTTGAAAAAAAATTGTTCTCATGCTATTGATTAATTTATTTAAGACCGTAAATCTTTTTGTTTTGTATATACAACTTCTAATTAACAAAATAAAATTTGTTTAATTACAATTCAAAAGTTATATAGGTTAAAGAGAAATCTGTTCCAAAGCGCTCGAGAGATCCTCAGATGAAACAGGAAGGAAACAGCGCAGGAAACTTGGGTATACACACGGCTATTCCTAGCGACGTAATTTGGAAGCTGAGGAATACCAGGTAGTGACACTCGAAACGACAGCTCGTAAATACCGTAATGATGTTCTCCCGTTGCCGAGAAACCACACGAAGTACTACTACGGTCACTTCGACAACACACAAGTCGCAATGAGACATGGCGTTACCGTGTAATACACGTACGTGCTGTACGCAACATACTCTACGTTACACGTCTGTGTAGTGATGATAATGCGTCGTTTAATTATTTAACGTCACATGAGCATGTACAGTAAACACAGAAAGAGAACGGCTCGCGGTATTATACGCGACCTCGTTAGTCGTTGCCACGCGGAGAATAATAAATGTTTATATCCGCCGGCGTCGCCATTCCCGCCCGAGTTCCCGTGTTTCGCTCGACTTCCCGTAAACGAGCCTCGGTAATCCCGTGGCGAATGTCATCTCGCACATGCAGGAAATTTATGCAAACGCCGTATTACGTTGCCTTCGTCTCTCGAGCTTCCCTTTCGTTTTAAACATAATCTCAACGTATAAAACTAAAGCCGAAGAAAAGATAAAAAAAATACAGCGATAAGATTATAATAACAAGTACATAAATGTTATAATAAATTAACATTTAAATATATGGTCGATAATGAAATCAAGGATATATTCATTCAAATTTCATCAATCGACTTTTTCGTTAGGCAATATTTTAGTTTTGTGCAAAAAGGCATAACGCTTACATAAAAAGCTTACAATAACGTTTGCATTATTTGATATTATTAAACCTGCTATATGCATATCTTCACGTAAAATTGAGTCCGTGGTATATGCACGTACACCGTACAGGTACGCGGTCGCCCTTCGCCGCGAAAGGGTTGAAGGACGCGGGAGCAATTTGTCTCTGCTAAAAGAAGCGAATGGAGAAGGAGAGAGGCGCAGGTTGTAGTGCACCTTTTACGACGGGATACCGAAGATGTGCGAGATGTGGTCCGAGACCGGTCCAAGGGCCTCGAACACGCGAGAAGGGCGAAAAGCGACGAACACGAGGGTAGAACATAGTAGGCGTAGACGGAAGCGAGACGAGAAACACAGGGCTATACCGCCTTTTTCTCTCGCGGCAAGGACGCGTCTCGAAAATTTAGACACGCGGGACGTGTACTTTACGAAAATGAGAGAAAAAAGATCGTTCTTGTGGTAAGAGTAACAAATCAGGAGCAAAAGAGAGAAAGGGAGAGAGTAAATCGCCGGGAAGACAAATGCCACCGTGATCGTCCCGCTAATTTATTACGGTGGATCGGAATGAAATCGGCGAGGAATCGCAGCCGGGCGTTCGAAAAAAGGCGCGGTTCTCTGCCGAGAACAATGCGCCTTGGCGGGTGTGTGTATGTGTGCGCACCGCCGGTAGCGGCGATTGCCGCCGACGACTAGCGCGACGCGCGGTCGCGCGGAAGGCGGAGGAGAAATCCACAGGACGATAAAGACGAACGGGCGCGAGGGGAGGAGGGAGAAAGGGAAATGCGTTCTAGTCCGATCCTTTTCCTTGCGAATGCGAGGGATGACGAGAGAAGAGAGAAGAAGAATCGAAGGTCCTCTCTCGGTGTGCCGATGGCACACGATAGAGCGAGAGGTCGCGCGGCGACCGAATACGACAGAGGGAGAGGCGACAGGCGCGGCGCGGCCGCTACGATAGAGCGAGAGCCGCCGGCAGGCGCGGCGGCCGCTGCGATAGAACGAGAGAAGGAGAGGAGAGCGAGCTGCTCGCTCGCTCGGCAGTCGGTTCCCACGGCTGCGCAGCATACCTCCACCTTCTCTCGCCTCTCTTTTCCCTTCTTCGCCGCCGTCAGCCCGAACCCCGCTTCGTCGTCCCTCTTCTCGGGCCGCGTATGCTCCTCTTTCGATCTCTTTCTCTCACTCTCTCACTCCCCTTCTCTCGTCTCGTCGCCTCTCGCTCCGACTCGCGCGCAGACTGTCCTCTCTATCCAGCGATTCGCCTCTTCTCTTCTTCTCGTCTCCGCTTCCTTTCTCTCTCTTTCTCTGTCGACTCGCGTTTCTTCACGTACAACAGGACGTAGCTGCAATCTCGGAGCGCGGGCGCGTATATATACGCGCGTATTAATCATCGCGGAAGACGGTCGCGCTAGAGGAAAGGGGAGAGAGAGAGAGAGAGAGCGAACGGTCTACATGTAAATGTATCGTAGTCGGCGGCAGGGTGTCGTCGCTCGTTATCCACGGTTTCCTCTTCCTCCTTTCGACACGAGGGCGGCCGCGAAAATTTCACCACCGTCCCCCTAGCCGTCGCGCAAACGTGTTACCTAATCCCGAGAACACCCGTCCCTATGTGTCTAAACGGCCAGGAATGAAAGAACGTAATAAAAATAGATGACTCACGGAAGGACATCAATAGGCAAGTTGCGACAGTCGCGATGCAGTCAGCTTGTAGAAAGAAATCGAATATGCGAGCGAGACATTAAGAGATATCGCTAGTAGAGTCAAAATCTTAAGAGTCGGAATACTTTCAAGTTGTATTATATATATTTTACGAAATAATAGTGTGTGTTTTACTTATAAACTGTATTTCGAAATTAGAGAAATTGGAGGCTATGCGAATATTCCGAAAAGTAACATTAATTACTCGTAAGTGGAACCAACATGAATGGAGCTCCCGCTCTATTCCTTCCTCGTTCGTCGTAATGCGAACAAAAGTCACGCTTTCACGGGCCATCCTTAATGCGATGCGATGCGGCCTGTTTTATTAATGCACGCTTCGATCGGGCCGGTCATTACCGTTTTCAACTTTCGACTCTTATTGTAATCAATTATAAATCGTTGCATATAGAAAAAACTTTTCATTATTAATATGAAAAAAAAAAAACCGTTAAGATTCTTCTTTTGTTAAAGAAAAAAACATGATATAATCTTTTCTCGATTTGCAAGCGTTATGCAATTGTGACGCTATTATATAATATAAAAATGCATATTTTAAAAATCAACCGGGGAAAAACGAAACTCACAACGCACGATGGAGTCGATAATAATAACCGCTATAGGTATCGTTCGTGTCGAGCGACAGTATATCGCCCAAGGGACGAGCAGTTAGTCAGTCAGTCAGTCAGTCAATAAGGTTCACCCACGCACGTGCATCAGCTGATGCGTACCTGCCCGATGACCACGTGACAAAGGACCGGAAGAAAAGGTGAGGGCACATACACGCTCGCATGCCGTATTTTCGCTTTAGCGACGCTGTAGGGGAAAAGGCAAGGGTTGCGCCGAAGAAACAGAAGCTGCGTAAGAGGCGACGATTTATAATGTAAAGGAATTCCGACCGAATTCTAGGGGGGCTCCATCGTAAATGAAGATATCGCGCTGCGACAAAAAAGTCTTTCCATCTTGCAAAACAATTTGTTAATTTCTGAAACAATTAAAGTCTTACTAACTAAAAATTGTAGAGCAGCAAAGAAATATGTCCCTCGGGTCTGAGAAAGGAAATGGATTAAGAAGCGCTTCCGCGTAAACGGCGCCCCCGAGCGACGTCGTAATAAGAATCTGCGAGAGGAGACCGGAAGCGCATCGGGGAAGCGACGCACCGGCCGTTACTCGATGTTTTTACACTCTTGCGGAGTAAATTCGAGCCTGAACTCGACTGTAGCGAAAGGGAACTTGCCGAGTTGTACCGTTACAAACGAACAGCGTATTTCTTCAATCGCAATTCGTGGGGAATCCGTTTTATTACTATAAATTTTTTTTTTTCAATATTAGTTTATTTTAGTTTAAAACTATATTATTTGAAAATACAAGAGTCGCATATTTCATCTACTAGATAAAATTGATAAACATACATTGTTAAAGAGCCGCAAAAAAGAAAACAGAAAATATATATTACTTATAAGAGATGGATCCGACGTTTGCTAAAACGTGTTCGTTGCTTTCGAGAGAAGGCTTTGAATCGAAATAAAACTCTGTCGACGCGTAATAGGTCCTAAGTTCCGCAGTTCGTGCTGTGACACGCAAAAAGGAAGAGAGAAAGGAGGAAGGAAGGAAGGAAGGTACC